TGCCAAAGAGTGTGAAATTGGAGAAACAATCTCCAATACTCCTGCACCCCACACACTTAAGGTGCCCATACACTGCACGATTCTCGTACGAGAATCGCAGGAAATCCCGCGATCGTACGAGAATCGTGCAGTGTATGGAAGACATGCGACCGTTTCTACTGTACGGTCGCACGTCTTCCATCGAACCAGCATGTTTGAAAACCTGCCGGGAATCGTACGATTCTCGGCGAGTTGGTGGCCTGCTGGTTCAACAACTGTCGAACGGGCTGGTGTGCGCACGCGCACACTGCCCTTTTGCAGTCAGCGTAAGCCCGCCCCTCAGGGGGCGTGGCTTGCGATGATCGAGAGTGCGATCTGCCCGTCCAAAATGGGCAGATCGTACGTTTTTTTAAATCCCTTTACAACCATCGCAAGACTAAAGGTCTTGCGATGGTTGTACAGTGTATGGCCACCTTTATTCTGTGTAGGAAGGAGTAATTAGGTTGCTTAATTGTCTGGGGTTGCTGCTTTGCAGATTAAAAACTTGTCTGTGCTGCAGCACTCGTCTCCAATCAGCCATCCACTGGTGGAAATAACAAATACCAATCCTGTGTTAGCAAGAGGCACTGCAACCCCCAACAACCAAAAGGAGGATCACCTCCCAGGAGCTCCCCCCCCTCATTGTGCCCTACCCATAGTATCATGTCACCTGGATTAGAAGATAACTGAATCTCTGAACCAGAAGGTCCCTGAGCAAGAGACTGGCTCCCAATCATTCCTACAACCTGATTACTGTGCGGAATGATTTAGAGTGGACGCCATCTCTTCCCTCATACACAGTCTATAACAAACATGTCTGGCGATTCATCCACCACTGGCTTCCCCACACAGGATTGGCACCGTGGTTTTTTGGAAGAAGAGGGATATTTAATGTTTGCAGGCTGCACATGGCTTAGTTTTGCCATGTGTGCTGACTGATGAGAGCATTCTTTCTTCAGAGGCCCTGGTTTGCAAAACACCAAACCAGCTCCTCTGTTGACCACACAGATCAGCACCAAAGCCATACAAACAAATGCACCGACTCACCTCTAATGTAAAATAACCCCATACATAGAGGAAACAAGGATAGGATTGAATACATTTCTTATTTCTGGGTTGACTGCTAATAGAGGGAGACAAAAGTTCCTTCAGAGGGCTTGTTCTGCAAAACACAAAAAACCATAGCCCCAATAAATACCAGAACTTAATGTGTCAACCAGTCCCTCATCTCCCCAAACACAGAGAGAAAAAGAATAGGAATGGGGGCTCCAACCCCCTCTTCTACCTTAGAGCTGCTAGCACCAGGATCCACCAGATCAGATGATGCTTCTGTAGAGAATGAGTCTGCTCCAAGGGCCTCCTGCCCTAAAGACTCCAGCTCCAGTGCCCCGCTTCTGATGCCCCCCCTTGCGGGTAAAACCCAGTGTCATATCAATTTTGGCCCATACAAACTAGACTCATGGAACTCCATTTAAAAAGCAGTGGAATGGTCCTATGTAAGGGCTGTATGTTATTATTTGGGTATAAATGCAAGCTGTATTGTAGAGTAATACCACAGCGTTCAGCAAATAGCAGTTATGCGCACTATTTCAAATTGACCACTTAGTGTCACCTGAACGATCTCCATAGATTTTCACTTTCAGCTATGCCCGTCATAAAAAAAACTAAAAAAGGTTCCCATCATCTACCTCAAACAACTAAAGTGGCAAAACATCATACCGGGGTACTAAGTGTACAAGCAAGCCTCGTCAGTGTCCTCTTCTTACAGATAGGGCCTATATTCTGTCAGTAAAAAAATTGATTGTAACGCCCATTTACTCCTTTGCTGATGATTTTTTAAACATATGCCAGCAATGTATTGTGTTACACAGAATCGCAGGGAGGGGGCAGCTGTTTACACACTGCTTTACAATTGGGCCCCAGTTTCAGACCAAGTTTCCTGTAGCGAAAAATGTTGAATTTGTAGGACTCAGGCCTAATAAAACGTGCAATGCAAATCATGAAAATGTGCATACACATCACCACCATAAATGCTAATCACTTAGGGTCCCCACACACCTTCCGATTATCGTACGAGAATCGCGGGAAATCCCGCGATCGTACGATGATCTAAGGTGTGTGGAAGCCGTGCGACCTCTACTACTGTAAGGTCGCACGACTTTAAACTTACAGACATGTTCGAAAACCCGCCGAGCATCGTACGATGTTCGGCGGGTTTGTGGCATGTCCGTACGATAACCGCAAGCGCACACTGCCCGTTCGGCATTGCGGTCATCGGAAGCCCGCCCCTCAGGGGGCGTGGCTTGCGATCATCGCAAGTACGATCTGCCTATGCAACATAGGCAGATCGTACGTTTTTTTTAAGTACCTTACAACCATCGCAAGACAGAAGTCTTGCGATGGTTGTAAGGTGTGTGCCCAGCCTTACAAAGGTGGAAATGGACTTTAAGATTCAACACTTTGCTAACTTACATATGTTGCAAGGATGCCACAATGGCACGATTGTTATGCACACTCTACTGGCAAGAGAAAGTAGAAGTGGACTTGTGCCTAGACTATGCACACTAACGTCTTTACAAAATGTCCCAACATGCAGTAAAGGTGTTTTAAAACAAGCTCTCATTCACCTCTGTAGATTTAGACACCGGAGAAATGGATTTTCAATTTCGCAACAGAGGCACTGAAAGCTGCGATCTGAGATCTTTGAGAAGGAATTACTTCACAGAATAAGCAGCTAAAGTGGTGACAAGGCAGGGAGTATGAGGCACCTACAATTGGGCTTTAAAGCCCTGTCCCACAACAAATGCATAATCGAACTGTGACGTTACTTGGTGTAAAGCTGACACAGCCCCAAGGAGTTGTATAATATTTATGTGCTGTTATAAGCCTAGTAAAGCAGGATTCCTGTCTTACTAGTACATACTGGAGTAGCTGTAAGATAGAACTCAGACAGCACTAACCACATCCAAACAGTGAAGCAATGCTTCCCTAGGATGCTTTGGAGCAAGACAAAAAGAGGAGGAGGACAATATCTTCATTCAAGTGAAAAGTACCTTAGATAAAAGGTGTTCTTAACCCTAAGGACCACCTTACCTTTTAACCCCTTCATGACTGAGCTTGTTTTTAGTTTCTGTTCGTAAATGACTGACACACTTTTGACATTTTTGCTGTGTGATTCTTCCACGTCAGTAATATACTTTCTTACAAAGTGCACCCACACATATTATATATTGTTTTTTAGAGGACAGATAGACACACATATGTGATATAAATATGTAGCCCTAACGCCTCACTTAGGACAAATAAAATATAAAAAAAAGAGGAAAAAACCGTTAAAAAAAAACACTTTTTTCCCAGTTTTGATTTGTAGTTTTTTTTTACAAAACCAGCACAGCTAAAAAAAAATGCAATAAATACATTCATTTATTTGTCCCTTATTTTATTTTTTACACATTTTTTTTTTTTTTACTTTTCACTTTTTTTTTAACTTAAAAATGTTAATTTATTTAATTATATCAAGCAGATTTTGTGAATTAATCTCACTGTTACTGCTTGATAAATTAATATATTTTTGGTTATTATCAGGCTGCTTCAAACTTCAGAACAGCCGATAAGTTAGTGACACTGATCCTGCAGCAGTTCAGGATTCAGCTGTCACTAAAGGTTTTCTGATTGTTCCAACAACGATCAAACAAACAAACATTCTTCTTCCAGGAATAGATACATTGTAGGAATAGACACATTATGTATCTATTCATGAAAGAAAAAAAAAAAAGCCAGTATAGCTTGAGAGAGATATATCTCTCGATCTATACGAGCTGTCAGAATGCCGGCAAAAGCCGGCATCTGTGTCCGCTCTGCTATGACTTTCAGACACCCGATATTAAGGTATCGGGAGTCTGAAAAAGGTTAACCCTTTCATTAATGAATGCCTCTGTAGTAAGGGCATCCATTAATGAATGTTAAAAGCTGATTCTCAGCGATTAACAGCCCTCTAAAGCAGCAAATAACTCGTCACGTACAGTGTACGTGACAAGTCATTTGGTCCCTATGTGGCTGGACGTACAGTGTACGTCTCCCGTCACGAAGGGGTTAATGAAGAGTTTGGAGAAGGCAGGAGTAGTGAACAATCTAAGCCAAAAAAGCAGATTTGGAAAAATTCTCAATTCAGCTCACTTACCAGTTCAGCTATGTTGTCCGAGATTGGAGAAGTGAACAAACTCTGCACCCTTTTGTAAATAACACTGTAAATGTTTTTACACAAAAGTGCTGCCAGCTCCAAAACTCTCCTAGCCAAAGTATTGTCAACAAGAAAAGCAACCTTGCGTGTGTAAGCTCTATTTAGGAAAACATATTTTCATGTAAATCAGCAATTTCATATGTAGATAGGTATCTTGATAGGTGTAGATAGGTATTCATATGTATCTTGTTTTACCCTTTATAGTTACACACTGTGCCGCCTCCTTAGCAGTCCAGTACAACACTTTTTCTTGGCAAGAGTCATTCATTTTAGGCAAGCTTGAAAAAACCCTCAAATTATGTATTTTAAAGTGAAATAAACTTCTGACAAAGACACCAGGACAACTTGCACATGTAAGTTTTGTTTTTATTCATAATTCATACAGTATGGGATATCAAAAATCCTCACAAAATAAAGGTGATTTACTGAAAACTGCTGTCCCTCTGGCTGATCTTAACTACGGCTCCGATACTGCGGAGAACTTTGCTTTATCAAATGTTAAAAAGGAACATAAAAACAAACATGCATACACATGTACATTTTGTGTTTCCCTTAAATCAGAGGTCTAGGTCACCATACTGGGAAGCACTACAAAAATAGTTAAATACACATTTAAATAACGTGTAGAGGGGAGTGCTTCTCTGTAGGATCCCATAGAGGAGGGTTACCAGGCAAATATAACTAGACTTATCCAGATATCAACTGCTACCTTAAAACAGCTCCTGTCCTATGTCTGAAGTGGTTTGGGGACAAACAGAGGGAGGCAAAATAGAAGCTTTGCTGGTTATGGTACTGAAAACAAATATGTAGGTAAGGCTGATTTCCTGGATATCCCTTGGCGCTGTTTGCGGCAGTAGGAAGGTGTCTAGGCCTCCAGCTCCAGACCCAAGCCAAGTTTGTGGCCACCAGCATTAATGTTCTTTCCATCTAGCAGCGCAGAGAGGGTCAATTTCACTCCTGATTAAACAAATGAGAAAGAAATGGTCAGCTGCTACATCAAAGCACACAGGACTAAGGAACAAAAGCTTTTGTCTATGGGCAATATCTGCACTTATCTTTTTTTCATCCGTTTCAAATATGTTGAATAGCAAAATGATTTTAGGATAAACAATAGAATATAAACCGTATATTAAGGGTTAGGGGAACATTTTCTCTGTTCCAAATGTATGCTTCTGTGTCAGCAAGTGTGTGTCCAGGACTGCCATGCAATCCTAGTAGAGAGCAGTTATATGTAATGCATGGTAACGTGCATTCTGTGTTATTTATACAGATGGGCAGAGGGGATGTTTCACCCTTCTTCACAGTAAAATATAGGTCTGCAACAACGAATCGACCAAGTCGATTATAAATCGATGATTGAAAAAGTTGTCAACGTTTTAAATCGATTAATTGGCTTTCAATTAGTTGGCCCTGTCCACGGCTCCACACACGCTGCCCGCCGCACTTCCTCCCCCGCCTCACGCTTGCCGCTGCCAGAACCGCACCTCCTCCCCACCTCACGCTCACCGCCCGCCCACATCCGCGATCGGCACAGGGAGAAGTAAGAAGGAGCAGGTGTGGGAGGGGAATGACAGCCGTGTGAGTTACGAATTCTACATGCCTCATTTTAAATTCTGACTAAGGTATATTTCATACCTTGTATCTTTGGTGAGTAAAGAAAAATAAATCACATGACAAGAATGTTAAAATGCAAGATTAGATTGCTTAATTACCAGTTACTAAAACGATCTACTTCAAAATTCACATGTATAGCCCTATGGACCCAAGCAATTTTTACATTTCTGCTATGAGCATACCGATTCCACAGTAACTTAAGAACAAATGACCAGATATTTCTTTCTTTAGGATAACGCCACGAACAAAAACTAAATGTATTTGTTATGCAATTGAAAAAAACTACAATTGCATATTTTCTTTTTACGTTTATAGGCGCGCAAACGTGGGGGTGGGGGAGTTAAACATTTTGGGGTTCCCCCCCCCTTTTTTTTATATGTGACTGATTTTATTTGGAGCCGCTGATTGACTATATGTGAAACACCTGGTAACGGGTGTTTGCATTGGTCGGGTCTTCTGCCCGTGCGTGCCCACTAGGGTGCATGCGCAGAAAAAAATTGCCGTCTGGAGTCGGCAACCCACCAATGCAGCAGTGCCGTCCGTCCGTTTTTTTTACAACGGGCGGACGGCAAATGGTTAATCAGTGTTGCTTTAAAAAAGAAAAAAAAAAAAAAGTGTGCTACTGTAGATGAGTATACATTTTATTCATCCCATTTATAAATTACACTGGTTAAAGCTGACTGCAGAGCAAGAAAGTATTGGGCAATCCTTTATTTTTTAGTTATGGTTGGAGCACTTACCTGGCCTGAGGGTCTGGGTGTAGCCTACACCAATAAGACTGGCATTATTCACCTTTGCCTAAACGGAAAAAAAAAAAAAAAAAAAAAAAAAGGGGGGGTTTGGAAAAATATTGTT